CTTGCTCTGAATCAAAGTGGCAAGGGGTGCGCCTCCTCATTCTCTCCCTTGTCACTCCGTTCGTTCGGTCTTCATGATCCCTGGTCTCGAACTGCTCATGCAACATCTCCTCAACCGACCTCCCCAGTAACTTTTGCTTCTCTGCAATCCACTTGTCATGCTGTGGCCACACGGCTTCTGAGACATCAACCTGGCCATACCAACACTCTGCCCTCAGGAGAAAGTCCCAACCCTTCAGCATGGAATAAGAGCCCCTCCTGTATCCTGCTGCCCTCTTCAGTCTGCACGCTGTTACCAGTCACACAGAATTCCTTAGGTCCTCCCTGCTTTCCAGGCTCTGGAAGGTGCTTAGAACACGCCCCACCCCTGCCAGCCCTTACTTTAGCAAAGCCCCCATCTTAGCCTTCAACACCACACCCTGCGTGCCCATCTCTGTGTCTGTCCCTTCCCTTACACAGGGCATCTCCAGGGCCCAGCGCATAAGAAAAACAAAATCCCTATAATACTCGTATGTATCAGTAACCAGGGAAGAGTGGGGCTAGAGTCCCCAGGGTCCCCTCACTGCTTACCTTGTTGTTGTAGATACTACACAGATAGGTGTGCATTTATCTACTGCAAGGACTCCCAATTTCCTTTAGAACATGTCTACCCAGCCTTATGTGCTACATATGGGCAATTTCTGTAATTGTGGATAGCTGTCAATTTAGGCTCAATTTTTTTATAAAGTCTAAATATTTAGATAATATTACTAAAATTGTATAATGAAATTATTAGCTAATTCAATCTTTGGTCTTTCCATCTGCTTGAATTCACGTTTACAATAGCAAAAGTCTGCTATTCATCCCATGCCAGATGTCATTAACAGATGAGAGAGAAACTGTGTGTGTGCGTGTGTGCGTGTGTGCGTGGGTGTGTGGGTGTGTGGGTGTGAGAGAGAGAGAGAATGCCCTTATAGGGACAATCTCTCATAAACTTCCAATCAGTAAATTTGTTAAGACAGGGGTACCTGGCACATGGTAGGCATTCAATATATATTTGTTGCATGAATTATTAAGCAAATACAGGAAATAGGGAAGTCAACCTCTTAAAGGAGTCAAGACTTAAAGGAGAGAAACACAAAGACAGTTTCTGTCCTTTTTGATGACAGTTTTCAGAGAACCTAAGAGTTCCATTAGCCAATATAATCCCACTGGAAGATAGCATACCCTGGGCAGCATCACAGGCCTGGAGGCTGGCCAAGGGGTTCACTTTCTACTTGTGAATGTGAGTTGGAATTTCTCCTGCAAGACAGGATGATGAAACGGTCCTGGGGGTTGAATTCATGAGACACGGGGAAATGGCAGCGATGACATTAGCAGGATGCTACTGCATGCCCGGCATGGATGTGGCCCAAGGAGGGAAAGGGTCCAATCTCTGTGGAGCGTGGAGACAGAGGGGTCACAATTCCATCCATTCCTAGGCTTTCGGCTTTACCTGAGCCCCCGAGTCAGGTCATTCACAAGAATGAGCCCCTCCTGCTGGGTGCACGCACGCTGCACCCTCTTCCACTTGGTGCTGCTGATGTTGAGCTGAGGCTCCCTCAGGCCCATCCAGACCCACCTTGTTCTGCATAGGGCTCCCTGCATGAAGCTAAGATCCAAGACCCCAGTGAGGGATGGCTCCTGACTCGTGAGGAGGCTTCCACGGCAAGAGGTTACGGAGCCTCGCCAACCCTCGTCCCATCAGAAAGTCCCAAGCTGCTCTCCCTAGCTTTAGTGTCCCAGCTCAGCGAGCTGTTCCCCTGAGCCGCTCCCTTGAGGGTGAGCACTTTGAGGCAAACCCACATGGGAGGGCCCTGGCTCCACCACGCCCAGCTGGCCTCCTGGTGAGCCAGTTCACCTTGATGAGGTTCAAGGGGACAACATGCCAGTGAGAGCGATGTGGGAGAACCAAATGGGCTGATGAGCACGGTGTGCCTGGCGTGCAGCAGGGACCAATGCCTGACTTGCTTCCCTGCTACATTGCTTTGCTTGTTCCATCGGCAAGAACCAACTGGACCATGACTGTGTGCTGAGCTCTGTGGGAAAGGCAAGAGAAAGACCACCCCCATTTCCCCGCCTTCTAACTTCTCTCAGTACCCAAGGCAAGTGCATGTGAGCCCACAACGGGCTGCTGCTGCTCACGCTGGGAGTCCCCAAGCACTCTACTTTCAGGGTCTGGTTCACAAAACCTTCTGCAAGTAAAGTACTTATTTTGTCACAAACCCCTTGGAGACAGTGGTTCTATCAGGCTTAAATTCCCTCGAGCTCAAACGAACGAACTCGCCTCAGATCCTAAAACCCATGCCATGTGCAGACCCAGGGTGTTTTCAGAATCCAGAGAGGCCATCCGGAATGATCTGACACCATACAATGAATGTGACTATCCACTGGCCACAGAATCCGTGCATGACTAAGATAATTAACAAATATTCACACCAGAGGTGCCTCTTCCCAGCAGACATTCTCTGAGTGCGCCAAGCTCTCATGCCTCAGTACCCCTGGGGCATTTCCCACCCTGTCCCTTTGATAAACTTCTATCTATCCCTGACAGCCCATTCGCATGTCACCACCTCTGCGCAGCCTTCTCTGACTGCCCCCACCCAGCAGCTTCTCCTGAACCTGCAGCTCCTGGCATAGGGCTCTGCCCTTGCTCTCCTGCAGGGCACTGACTTCCTGGACAGCACCTCACTTCCTGCCGGACTGGGCAGCTGCACTGAGCCCTGTCTTTGCATCTCAGCCTCATAGTGCTTCACAAAACACCTGCACCAAAAGTAGGTGCTCTATAAAGAATGCTGAGCAAGCAGACAGGCGAGCTTTGGGTCTCCAGCGCACTCCCGCAGTCAGTGAGTGCCCACCACGAGCTGGGTGTGGGGGTGAGGCTGAGAGCAGCTTGGTTATTTCATGAAGTACTCTCTTACAGTACAGTCCTTCTGGAAACTCTCTTTTCAGAACAGCACCTTCATGCCTCAGTAAGCTGTATAATCCGATTTCAGTTTCCCAGACAACTGTCTCTGTGTCTCTGGCTGTCAGTCTGTGAAACTCCTCTAGCCCAGCCCTGATAGGTGGCCATTAGAACCTGTCACTAACATGAATATCAACACTGGCAAGAAACATCCAAAAAGACAAGAACACCACCAGCCCCAAGAAGACCTTTCCTCACACCGAATCAATACTTCATTACGTGAGGCCTTTGAAGCGTTAAGAGGTTAAGAAAATGTCAACCCTTTGGTCCATATCTCCTCACCATGGCCTTTCTGAGCTACCTGTGGTTAAAATGCAAGAGCTAAACCCTGTTGGGGTGCTTCTCAGTGGTGAGAAACCCTGGGCAAGGGCACGTCAAGGTCCGAGGTGGGCTACAGGAAAGGATATGACCCGCCAGCGAATGCCCAGTTTGCTGTTGATCTCCAGGCCCCGGGCTTCCCGCCGCTCCTCCTCCAGCTGCTCTGCATTTGCAAACTGCCTCTTCTCGCCAGGGGGTACCGGGAAACTCTCAAAGTTGAACTTGTCCACTTGAATGGCCATTCTAGAAGGGGGGAAACACAGCAGAGAATTAATCAGCAGGGCAATGTCTTCTGCTGGCTATTGGAGAATCAGCACATGCCAGCGTGAGATGGGATGATGAATCATTATCGTTAGTAATTCATAATCAATTCATTCCAAGAAAATGAAATAATAGACTCCCAAGGTGGCTCTGAGTTCAGTTGTTTCAACACAGTTTGGAACTAAAGACATAGTCATAGATTCAAACCTCTGAGAAGACCCGTGTCACCCCTGATGAAAATCTCAATTCTGTAATGGGTCAGGGCAGACATGACCCAGTGTGCCGCCGAGAGTAGACTGGATCATGATTTGAATTTCTTTGTGGAAGAACACAGAGAATGCTGGCAACTGTTTAACTCTGGGACATCAAAAGCACAATGGGTGCTCCCCCTGACGTCCCCACCTCGCACTTTCTGCTCCAGCCACACTGGCGGCGTGCTCACCACCACACCATGTCCACCAGTGGCCACAGCCTCGGCCTGTGGGTCCCCGACATCACTGCTCTCTCGGGCCACTGCCCATCCTCCCTCCAGATCTCTGCTCAAGACCATGTCCTCCACCAAGGTCCCCTCATTGCTTGTCCAGCCTTCTTGACCTTCTGACAGTTCCTAGAACACACCACACTCTCCCTGCCCTGTCCCTATGCCTGGAATATTCTTCTCCTGGCTCTTGGCACAGCTAGGTCCTTTCTATTCTAGATGCTGGAGCTTAAGAAAAGCCTCTCTGTGCCACAGCAGCTACAGCAGCATCACTTGCCCCCATCCCCATGCTCTATTGCAGCATTCAATCTATTTTTGTCCAAGCATTCACCATGATCTTTAAGATTCGCCTTTGGATCTGTCGACTGTCTATCATTTCTACTGGAAGTTAGCTCCCTGAGGGTAGAGATCCTCTCTGTCTTATTTACCAGCTTCCCCAGGCCTAGAATAATGCCTGGCACCCTGCAGTGGTTCAGTAAATAATCAGATGAAGAAATGAGTGAGTGAATTAAAAGCCTTCCCTGACACTGCAAGGCAAGGGTGACCTCTTCCTTCTCATTGCTCTCCTGGGCCTGGTACCTACATCCACATGTGCCACATCCCCACGTCCAGACAGAACCTGGGCTGTAGAAGGCATGCTGCCCGTGTGTCTGGAGGCTCCAGTAAATTTCTGTGGCCTGTCCCATTCCAGACCATTTTATTCGCATAGACAGGGGCTACATCTTACTGATGTTTGAAAACCCACCTCTTAGCACAGAATCGGGCACACAGTAGGTACTCAGTGAAGGTGCATTATATGGATGGATGAAGAGAGAGAGGGAGGAAGGTGGTTTTTTCATGTTAGACCCCTAAGTGCCTAAGTTCTGGTGCCAGCTTAAAGACCGATGAGAGTTAATCAGCCAGCGGGTAAAAGCAGGCGTTTTGCATTATTGCACAGACGGTGCTGTGGCCAAAACATCAGCAAAACGATGCGATGCTCTCATAGCCTTTGTGGCTACTCCCTTTCAACAAACAGGAAATGAGAGGAACTGCTGTTTAGGGTACATAAACACAAGGTTAAACCAAAGAAGAGGTCTCGGTAGCCAGGACAGCTTGGGAAAGAGCCACTGCAGTGTCAATACATCCACAGCATTTCAGCATTTGGCCAGACACGACGTGCAGGGCCAAGCTCCCCCAGAGTTAGAGACACACCTGTGCCCACAGAGGACGACGCTTCTGTAGCAGGAAATGCTGAATAAAAACTCACATTTACTGTTCTGTTCTGGTTATTTAAGTGGGCAGCTTAATGTAAAAAGTCAGCAAATAGAAAAAAAGCATAAAAAACAAAAGCACCCAGAATTTTACACTTTAATGTTAATATCTTAATTCTATAGTCTTTTTCCTACGTAGTTATATTTTAATAGTTTAAATCATTGTGTATAAATAGATCATTATTATGTATACATAAATATGCACATATACATAATTTTATGTCTTGTTTTATTCTCTTAATATACCATAAATATTTTCACAATAAAAATTAGTTTGTAAAATATTCTATCATATGGATATATCGTAATCTACTTAACAATTCCCCTATTATTTAAACTATCAGATCTTTTCCATTTTTAAAGAATTACTATTGTAAAAACATCGTCACAAACATCTTTGGGCTTAATGTTTTTGTCTGCACTTATGAGTGACTCTAAGGATCTATTTCTAGAAGAGGAATTACCGACTCGAGAGTGTGAAATGTTTGAGGCTGGGATGTAAAGTACCAAGTTCCTTCCCAGGTTTTTACAAAGTACATTCTCCCAAGCAGGCAGGCAGGAGCCCGTCTCTCTCTGAAGCCTTACCAATACTAATGATGATCAATTTTTAATCTTTGCTATTAATAGGCAAAATGCTACTTCACTGATGTTTTAATTTGCAGGTCTGAATTATCCCTAAGGTAGAACATTTTTTCAGAGGTTTCCTAAAAGTGCATCTTTCTCCCCATGAGCAATCTATACATGTGGCAAGATAGCTTCTAATTTTTCACCAACAAAAGCTCCTCCTATTCCCCCACCTCAGAGGCAGATCGAAGCAAACTAATGCTCTCGTCAAACAAAAGGTCAGACTATTTCCCAAGTTTTGCTAAAAGATCAATTTCAGTTCATTCCCTGATAACCCAATGGGAACTAATAACTTTCACCTTTCAACTGGGTTTGCAAACAGTCCCCAATACCAGCCTCTCTTCCTGCTGAGCACAGAAGGGAAAGACCCTGCAGGCAGCAATGGATGCAGCAGCCACTGATTACATCTGTATGATTTTCCGGTGTATCTTTTGAACAATTTCTGGTTGAGTAAGATCATACGACATTAGCCACCTCCAACCTTAACAAAATTGTAGCCATGTGTGCCAGGTGTTTTATACACACATTTGCCTTATTTAATTTGCAGCCAGCCCAGGGAGGGCTGCAATATGCTTCATGTTCCAGATGATAAGATGGAGCTCCAGGAGCGAGAGCCATCTGCCCAATGTCACAGAGCTAGCAAGCCATGAGCTGAGTCTACCTCTCTACTCAACCCTACCCTGCTTTGTTTTTAGCTTTAATTTGGTTTTTCTGTGCTCAGGCAGGGTACTCACGAGGAGGTTACTTCTTGCTCACACTGTCTGCAGAGATGGCATGGGACACATGCCCTACCAGGCCTGCTGCCCACGAGAACAATCAGTCCCTCCCACACATACCACAGCCCTCCTCCCCCAGCATCCTTAGGGCAGGCACTGCCGGGAGCACCCCTTAGGAAGTATCCCCTTTTCTAAAGTGACAAAACTCAGGCACTAAGAAACTGAGTAACTCACCTATGTCACCCAGCTGAACATCCTGGAGCCAGGACTGCAACGCGGTTGGGTCTGATTACAAGAGCCAAGTATGACTCCCCCAAATCACAGAAGAGCATGCCTGGCACCTGCATCCCTCTGACCCCAGGATCCCGGCCAGTCCCTAAGCCTTGCCCCCTCCCCATCCTTCCTCCCCATGGCGAAGGGCAGCAGGCTGACTATCAACCTGGCAGACTGCAAGAGGGTTTCCTACAGAGGAGTCTTTGCGCACGAGCTGGGTATGGTAGGAAGATGCTGCTGCATCTGTCATGGCGTCATCAGAGGGGAGACCCATCGGCCCAGCTGCCCTGATAGGTGACCTTACTCTAAACACAACCGCAGAACTGGCAGGACTTTTAACAAGGACTGAGGCCATCCTGTTTTGAGGCTTGTCACCATTGTGGCTACAGAGCTCCCCAATGATGGTGATGACAGGCCGTGTGAGAGAAGTGTATGGAGAGCACGCCAATGGGGCCACTGGGCTGAGAAACGCTCACAAGAACTGACGTGGCAGCCTGGGGAAACCCAGGTGCTGGGTGGAGAGGTGAGAAACTATCCAGTACAATCCAAGGAGAAGGAGCCAAGGCATGGAGGGTGGCACCTCGTCTGACACAGCGGACACCAAGGCAGCAGTGGGGCAGAGGGGGAGCTCAAGCTTCAGAGTGGACCACCTGGGCCCCGACTTATACATGACCTCGGCAGGCCCTGCACTTCTCTGGGCGTCTGTGTGGAATGGAAGCAGCACCACCTGC